TAATTATAAATATATAAAATTAATATTACATGTTATATACATTGAGATAAAGAAACTTAGAGATATTAAAGTGTTATATATAATGATAATTAACCATTCAAAGTTTTAAAAGACAAAAAAATTTAATAGACTCTTATCTATCAGTGTCACGTAAATTACGATATGAGGAGTAATATATCTTATTTGAAAATAACATAAAAAGTATTATCAATCACAATAATTGACTCCTACAAATTTTTAAATGATACTAAAATTTTAGTTAAATCTTGAGATTTTATTGGTGCCACAATTGAGACAAATTTTTTTATAGGTGCCACAATTGAGACAAAAATATTACATGTATTATTTGAAAATAATATAAATTATAAATCATAATAAAATAATTATCTAAAATATTTAAAAATTACAGAAAAAAATATTTGACTCTCAAATTTCAACTGTAACTTATAAATTGAGATAAAAATATATATTAAATCCGTAATAACATAGGCTTCCTCTCCCTGTAACTCGAGCGGAATTACATCCAATATATATATATATAGATCGTCGAAAAAGAGTAGTAGGTATACTTTACTAGAGGCAATTCACATGCTCAGCAATCAGAAAAGAGAATATATTTTTTTTGTTTTTTTCTCCCTATAATTTCTATAATGATTATAATGTGGCACTTTTCACTAAATAAGAAAATTTGATTAATTTAAAACAATTTCAAATACTCAGTTATGAGTCATAAAATTTGGGATAATTTCAAATTTGACTATCGTTTGGGCATAATTATTATAACTATATTTTGGATATTTATAATTCATATTTACGATTTCATTTCAGATATTAAATAATAAAAAAAAGATCTCGCATCTCTCTCTGTCTCTCATCTCTCTCTCCCTCTTTGTATTGTATGTTTTCATATTTCTCTCTATAATTTCATCTCTTTGTATTTTTATAATTTTTGAGGTATTAGACAATTGTATTGTTTTATTAAAATGGAGTATTTAAGTTGCGTCGTGTATTTTCACATCTTTCGTTCTTATATCATTTGTATTTATTTGTTCTTATATTATTTATATTAATTTGCTCTTCTATCACGTATATTCATTTACTCTTTTATCACTTGTATTCAGAACTCTCGTAGCACTTGTATTTGAACTCTTTGTATTTTATTTTGTTCAAATGCTTTGCAAGATATACTTCAAGATTTTAGATATTTAGCAGGTCCAAAGCACAAGGTATACACATATATACATTTTCATATACAAGATATACTCTATCATTGTCACGATCCAAAATGAGTCGTGAGTGACACCCACACTTAATCTCCTAGGTGGACAAACCAAGGAATCCAAACCCCAACATTTACCAATAATTCAACTACGAATAACAAATGTGGAAGCTCCAACACTTATCAAAGTAACTAAATTCTAGAGTCTGTTACATATGATCTCCAAAACCTGAAAGTCATCACATCAAGGACATCTAATCTCCAAACACTAAGTCTAAGAGTATCAAAATGTACCAAAATACAAGAATAAAACGGTATGTGTCAGAAAACAAAGGACATCATGTCATGACCGAGAGAATCCAATACGAGTTTGAATGAATGGCTCACCCTGGGACCTGATATGCTGGAGATTGACTAGAGCTGAGGGCCAGTCAAAGTCGTTGGTATGCTCGCTGCACTCCATAAAAGGAAAAAGAAAACACAAGTAGGGCTCAATATAAGGTGACATGTACTGAGTAGGTATCATCGGCCAACCCAAAATAGAAACTAATATACAATGAACAATAGTATGAACTCAACTATAACACTTAACAGGTGATAAGCTACAAACAACGTGAGCCAGTGTCAAGAACACTAAAGTAAGTATGTAATAAAAGTCGACAATATCGAGATCATCCATGAGGACTCATGCCTCCAACTAAACCACTTGGGGAATTGAGTTCTTTGAGATTGAGTACATTCTGTTAATTCCATATCTTTTTCTTTTAATGTTACCGTGTCGGAACATGACACTTCGATCCAATTATACTGTGTCGGAACGTGACACTCCGATCAAAGAATATCGTGTCAGAAGGTGACACTCCAATCCAAGAATACCGTGTCGAAATGTGACACTCCGATTCAAGAATACCATTGATTTATCATTTATTATCACCACTTTCAATTCATTGTTATACTATTTCATCAAGCCTTCTTTATTCAAGGCATCACATCGATAAATAGGGTTCAAGAATATAAATCACACGGTCTCAGAATTTCAGACCAATCACAAAATACACAATCACACAATCAAGTACATAGAAAAATTCACAATATCATTCAATGCGTATCAATCATTATTAAGAGTTTACTATCAAATAGCTTAAATCATAACCTACCTCCATCGAAGAATCGAAGTCAAGCAAGTTATTTCTTCAATGTTTTTCCTTTTCTCAATGCCTCCAAATATTTCCAATCTACAAAGTATATATATGCATAATTTGTAAGTTAACGAGTCGATAAGCACTCATATTATTCTATGCCTATCCTAGAATAACCAAAAACTCACCTAATTCTATAATCAATTTCCTAAAATTCAAACCTAAAAAGTAAGTCTTAATTTTTCCAATTAGCATAACTTAAATGATATTTTAATAATTTGATACACCTAATATTTAATTACTTATCTTATTATATCAAAACCTGAATTATAATGTAAAAAAAATAATAATCTTAAACATCGAAGATGAATGTAAAGTCAGTAGCGTTAATATATCACTAAACAAATATGCATAATCAACCTATTCTACCAATTTAATATTACTATATTGTCATCCCCTCATAATGCCCATCATCCTGCCAATTTATTAGCCACTAATATTTGTCTCCCCAAAATTCTAAAGTCGAAATCATTAACAGAACCTCAATTGTTTTGTATCTTCAACCATTCACTGTCTAAACTTTGCCAACACCCCTTTTAGACTTTAATTTCTCTTATTATATTTATTCTTCGATATCGTGACACTAAGTAGTATATGTAAAGCTATAATTAGGCCCCCCACCCAACATTAAAACAATGCGGCTAGTTGAACACTTACCTCAAGGCACAATCGCATCCTCACGTCTTATGTAAGGCTAGTTACGAACAATTCAAATATCAATTTAGAATCTATCGAAAAATATTTTATCAAATAAAAAGTTTTAGTACTCAAAACGATTAAATGGGTCGTTACAATTATTCTCATATTCCATAAATTTAAGTTACTATTCAAATTTAAGCTAAAATTATATTTTCATTATATGTGTATTCAGAAAATACATATTATATTTTACAATATATGTTATTAACCACATATTATTATATATATAATCTCCCATCTACTACCCTATTTTTTTAATATCTTAATTTTATTTTACATATAAATTAAGTCACAAGCTCTCATATACTTTAAATTTACACCTATACCTAGTTTACTTTACAACAAATCAGATTCAGGGGTGGAGCTACAATAGCTGATGGGATAAAGTCGAACTCGCTGATTTTTTCATTTTATATTTGTATTAAATTAAATTGTTGAATATCTATATAAATTTCTTGCAAACCCATACTAACACTGACGCATTTAGCCCAGTGATCACAACCCACCCAGCGAAATCCTTTGTCCTGCTTTATTTGGATAATTTTTAAATGTGTTATATATATATATATATTTATATTTATATAAAAAATAGAATGCATGTTTATATATTAAAAAAATTATAAAAATAGTTTGGCTAATTTCTAAATGCGTCTTGTATATTAAGAAAAAACAGAATGCGTGTTTATATATAATTTTTTTTAAAAAAAAAGTAGAATATCAGTATAGGTGTGTTTTATACAAAAAAAAAAATTGTAATAGCCGGGTTTATAAAAGAATTGCATTTTATACATATAAAAAAAAGAATGTGATGTTTATATATATAAAAAATAATAATTAAAAGTAGTTTGGATAATTTCTAAATGCGTTTACATATATATAAAAAAATAGAATACGTGTTTATATATAATTTTTTTTAAAAAAAATAGAATATTGGTAAAGGTAGGTTTATAAAAAAAATGCATGTTTTTTTAGCTAAATGCAACATGGGCATTTTAAGCGTTGACTCTTTCAAGACATCTAAAATTACTGGGATACAACAACTTGTTCTATTAAAGATATTCAAAATATGTTATTTAATCACTTTACATATTATTTTACTTATATATATTATATTATTTTCCTACAAAAGATGTTTAATTGGACATCCTAACTATAACATAACTAGGCCTCTGTTGAGGAGGAACCAACTTCCTTTGCATAAGCTTGTTATGACCGTAGATGATGTTTTACATTGAAAATTGAAATGATCAATCTTCTCAAAAAAGCTATTTCTAGTTTTTGAAAAAATATCTTTTAGAAATATTAGAGAATGTTTAATAGTGCCTATAAAAATAGCGTTGAATAAAGTGAAATGCCAACATTAATAATAATGATGGCAATAGTTATGCTTTGGGAATGCTCCTTCATTTTCTATCTTTTCATTTGCCTTTGTTTTTTTTATCGTTTTTGTTGTCTTATTTGGGCCATTTGGGCTCATTTCTTCTTGTTTGTACAGATTTAAGTTGGAAAAATTACTTGGATTGGTAGATTTTAATACAAGGAAATTTTTAAAATGTAAATATTTTAATATTTAATAAAATTCATTAGCAAATACTTTTAATATTTAGTAAAAATATCAAAATTTTAGTTTATTAAGTATCTTGTTTAAGTTTTTATTTAAAGAATATAATTGTTAACTAACAAAAAGGATAAATTCAGGAGAGAGAATTTATTAAAAAAGGAACAATTGCTTAAAAGTCTCATATGCTATAAAAATTTAAAGGGAAAAGGGTTTGATATACCCTTCAACTTTGTCATATGAAGCTGTTATATCTCTCGTTATAAAAGTGACTCATATATGCCTTTACCGTTATACAACCGGCTCACATATACCCCTGCCGTTACAAAATGGCTCACATATACCCTTCATTTAACGGAAATTAAAAAATTAGTTTTAAATTTAAATTTATTACTTCTAATTTTTTTTAAAAATTATTTAGGGGTATATATGATTCTTCTATCAAAGTTCAAGGTATATATTTAATTTTTTTCATACATAAATTATTTTTTGACTTCTTTTATTATAATTATTTGAGTTTCTTATTCTTATTTTGTTTGTTCTTTCATTTCTTAGTTTAAAGAAAAAAAATTTAAACTATTTCTTTTGTGTGTATTGTAATTTAATTTCGTATTCGAAAAAAAAATTGGTCATCTACAATAAGTTTTTACAAGAATATTAGTGAAACATGAATAAATTTGATTATCAAAATAATAATTATGAATAAGTCATTGAAATTAAAAAAAAGTCAAAAAAAAAATATGTTTGACGAGGATTAAATTTACTCATATGGGATTATATTTTTTAGAAAAAAATAATAAAAATTTAGATTAAAATTATTTTTTTTCCATTTCCGTTAGAGGAAAAGGGTATATGTGAGTCATTTGTTTACAAGTAGGGATATATATGAGCAACTTTCATAACAAGGGTATATCAGCTCTAAATGACAAAGTTGAGGGGTATATCAGACCCTTTTTCCAAAATTAAAAGTAAACACAAATTCAAAAAAATAAACAAAGAGAACTCATCCCACTTGTTCATCAAATTTCTAATATCGATTTTTAAATTTTCATTGATGATATTTATGTTGAAATGAATTCGATTAAATCACGTTTTTCAAATTTGTACTTTAGAATATTGTATCAACCTCAACAGATTGTAGTATTTTCATTATGCATGCTATTCTTTTTCTAGAATCATGTATCTTTCTTTAATCATATTCATATGTAATGACTAGATTATATTGAAATACAATTCGTAAATTTTTTGTAATACAAATAAAAGAAAATATATTTGGCAGTTATGTAATACAATTTTGATCACTAGGATACGATTTTAGTTTTACTATGAAAGTAAAATACCTATTTTAATTTAAATGGTAAAGTGAGCACATAAAATACAAAATTTGTTGATATACAATTATGATGAAAACATAATAAAAAGAAATACAAACTTGATGTCATTGAAATTGAGACTTAAATATGAAATGAGCACAATAAATACTCACATCAGTTGGAATACAAAATTGACTTTGTTGGTATATCATTATGGTGAACACAAAAAATACAAATTTTTCTGAATACAATGTGAGAGTTAAATACAAAATGATCACAGTAAAATACTCACCACAATTTGATATTCAATTTTAATTTGAATTGTAAAGTGAACACATGAAATATAAAAGTTGTTGGTATAAAATATTGACGAAAACATAATAAAAAAGAAATATAAACTTGTTGTCATCGAAAATTAAGATTGAAATACAAAATGAGCACAATAAATACTCACTTCAGTTGAAATACAAATGTGACTTTATTGGTATACCATTATGATGAGTACAAAATAAAAAAAATAGAACTTATTTGTATACAAAGTGATATAGAAATACAAAATAAACAAATTAAAATAAAAAATTATCGTCATTTGTGTTCTAAGTTTCAATTGTGATATTTGGAAAATAGAACATTGTTGATTAAGTTGAATACCTCTAGTAATTCTCTTAAATTCTGTCATTGGAGAGTGATCTAGAGGTTATCAAATCCCAAAAGTGATTTCAACTACAAACAACAATTTTGAACGATTTCAACAAAAATAAAATCATAAAACAAATATTGAAAAATGGATAAAGACTCATATTTTAATAGAAGGGCATTGTGTGAATATCTTTATAAAATATATTTTTCTTTATAAAAAGAAGAAGAAGAAGAGAGTCAGATTTTGAAATGGAGAACATTTGGAAGATGAAAATATGAGAGAGATAAAACTATTTCATTTTCAAAAAAACATATGAGAGAGGATTAATCGAAAAATTTATAATTAAAATGAGATAAAATAGGAAGTAAATAAGAATACACATTCTTTTTTAAAATAATGACGTTTTGACAATATTACTAATATTTATAAAGTATGGAGATTTTTCTAATTAAGTTAAGTTATTTGAGTAGTTTGCTAATTTTTTTAAGGGTTTAATAAATAATTATTGATTTTAGTGATAATTTTTATTTATTACCATCTATAAAAATATATAATAATTTTATGTTAAATTTGTAATATGTATTAAAAACGAATTATGTTTGCAATATATATGTATTATAACTGTTTTTTAAAAACATATTGTGCTTGTTTGGTAAGAAATTGACACATTGAGTTTTAAGTGTATTAAAATGTGTGACAAAGTGTTATTCATCAATAAAACTCGTATTATATGTGAATAACAAACTGTTCTTTGTAATATTTATTAAAATTGATTAAATGAAAAAAAATATTATTGTTATAAATGATAATATTTTCTTAATATAATATATTTACGTAAATTTCCTTTTTTATTCTTCAAATAGATGGACTACAAGCCAACTTCTAATTTATTTATTTATTTAAAAAAAAAGGAAAGAAGAGGAAGTTAATTTTTTTGAAAAAATATCTTTGGAGATTAAGAAAATTAAAGAGAAGAAAAATAAAATATTTGATTAAACTAAAAGTGCTTATAATTTTTTTTTAAAAATTTATAAATTAAGAATGACTAAGTTATAACCTTAAACTTATTAAACATTTTCTTATTAACAAAATGCATAAATAGATTAAAAATAATACTTATAACCGATTTTGATGAATTTACAAACTTACATAAACACTATCTAAAGTATATATTATATTAAGGGAAAATAGTGTGAAGAATACTTTAACTTTGATCGAAATTGTTGTTACTATACCAAATTTTATGGAGGACATTTTATCCCTGTAGTTCTGCACTACTTAATAGTGTATTTTAAAGGTATATATGTGCCCACGTGAACATATTACACTATTTAAAATGATGCAATTTTTTTAATGTCCACATGAACACATATATACCTTTGAAACATACTATTAAATAGTGCATGTGTAAAAGGTTATTTCCAAAGTTATAATAATTCCGATCAAAATTTGAATATATTTCAAA